CGTCGGAGAGTTGACGAATCACATTAAATATAGTTCTTCTTGCAACAGCTGTCTCTAGGGGTTTCAGAAATCTAAACAATAGTTAAGAAAGGCAGTTCAAACTTGTACTATTCAGGCCTTAAGGAAATAGAAAATATTGATTCAGAGGAAATGCTCCAGCAGGAAATTCCCTGTTCAGGAGCAAAGGCTATCAGACGATGACTAACCACATCAGAATGAGAGGGAAGTGCAGCAGCTGACCTCATAGTCACTAGATTTGATCAGCCAGAGTTAGAAGGAACAGGGATCCCTGGAGACAGTAGATTTGCCCACGACGCAATGGCTGATAAAGAGGGTGGCCCTGCGAATACTGGACTGAACGCAACGGGCCTGACCCTGCTCAGTTAAAACAACGGGAGTTCCCCCCAGGGTGAACAACTCGATATTTGCTGACATTGTTTCTCCTGTTTTTAGCCTGAAGGACCCTGTCAAATATTTATGAAGAGGCAGGAGTCACTCCAGAGTTAAGTTGCAAGCGAGTCATTGTATAGAGCAGCTATGATTGTAGTGCAGGGACGGGGTGGGCGGCCGCATGGCCCAACGGGCAGGCTGGATGAAGTATGGCAGGGCTGCACGCTGCTGGCTGTCACTGCCACATGACATAATGGGTGCGTCTACACGTGCATTTACGCCGGCTTCAATTTACTGCGCAGTAGGAGGGAATAGGCCGACATCTACACATGCAGGCATTAAAGTGCATTCATGCTGTGTGTAGATCGACTTTTAGAGAGAATGCTTCTAGACAAGGTATGTAAAATCAGCGAGACTATTTATGGTGGGGGGGAATAAGACACAAACTCAGAAGTTTTTTTGGACAATAGATAATGTTTCAGGGCTCTAGCCCAGTCCAGACAGGCACTGAGCATCCCTAATCGACACCAAGCGAGGCTAGGTCAGCACCTGCCAATTTGGGGACTTCCCCTAGTGAAATGCACCCCTTTTGCACAGGGCCAGTGCAAGTTCCGGGCCCCCCTAGAGCATTTCTTAAGCCCCCGGCAAGGTTTAAGTGTGCCTACGTAGGCTACGTGCTGGCCCGCGACTCCCAGGTACATTAAATCGAGACTCTTCAGCCTGAAGCCAAGGACAAGACAGGTCTGGGAAGCGTGGCCCTGACCATGTCAGCTGGGCGGACTGTGCGACTATACTGAGGATGCTTCTGTTTGCAAAAAGAGGATACTGAATGTCTAATGAATATTAAGCACATTTTCCACCATCAAAAAATAAAAGTTCATCACCAAAACAAATCAGAAAAAAAAGACTGCCCACTCGTATAGAAATACTGATTTTAATTAGATTGTGATAAATGTTAAAGGTAAACTCGAGACATTGATCCATTTTCTTTTTCACCAGAAAAAAAATAATCAGTAAACTGTTTAGAAAAGGCACAGTTTTGATGGTTCATACTTTGGTACTGGGCTCCTGCTACAGAAAACATGTGAAACAGTCAACAACAAAAATACAAACTCAGCATTATTTAAAAGTGTATAAAAACCTGCAGAAATGTGGACATTAAAAGTCCTTAGTCTAAAAAAAAAAAAAAAACAAATCACAAACAGAAATAGCACCAGGGAGAGTATAAAAGACCTTTAAAATTTTTAAAAGGCATTTCTGAAAAATATTTCTCTCCTTAAAAATGTTTTTATAAACATGTAGTAAAAAGGCAGCTTTTACAGGGAAAAAACAGTTGGAGGAACATTTCTATGACAATTGTTTTCCTGCAAGTTTAATGCCACATAATCTTGATTCTTTTTTCATCTTTGCTTGCTTTCCAAATCTTCTCTCCCATGAAGACGGGGCTACAGAATGAAAAGCTGAAACCAATTTGAAGGCGTGCATTAATCCAGCCTGAAAACAAGGGGCAAAGGCTAAAATAAGTGGGGGGTGCACCTGCTGATCGTGCGCCTTCCTTGACTCATTTCGACCAGCGCCCCAGGGCTGCCGCGAGCTTCACATGGGCAGGACCCTCCATCCTTGCAAAACGCGCCAGGCTTCCCTGCGGTTCTGCATGGGCACCAAGGTCCTCCCACCGGAAGCTCGCCACAGGCACAGAAACTAAGGACTGATTTCACGTGGCAGTACACAAGGGACGGGCTGAGAACTTAGTGTTTTGATCCAGATCCAGAACGCATTTCGGCTTCTCGTGGAAAAGCTGCACATGCAAACGCACGGAGTTGCTGCGGGTTTGCACACAGAGGCACCCCGGTAACCAGCCACGTGGTTACTCGAGTACCACATTCTGCATGCCGAACCCACCAGAAAATCCAGCCCCCGTACGTCTTCGGAGATAACCGTGTATCGATTGCGGGAGCTAGATTATTTCTTATCCCTGAGTGGTGTAGAAAGGATTGCACAGATGGGGGAGATGGCACGTGGGAGCTCTACTTGGCTTTTCTTCAGCATTTTGGCAATCGGTGCATCTCACTTGGGGATATGCTAACAGAAGGAGCTTCCAGGAGCAACAGGGGAGGAAGTGTCAGTACAGAAGTGAGCTCCACTGCCAGGAAGTCCCAATTCTGACATGCTTCCTCATGCAGCCGCTTCCCGCTGCCTTTCAGAGCAGGCAGGACGGCTGCATCGGCAGCTGAGGCTGGAGATAGAAAATAACCAGCGCACAGACCAGGAACGGCTCTATGCAGGGAAACGTGAGGTTTTCCATTTGCTGGGGAGGACACCCTCTTCCAGCACCTGAGAAGGAGATGCACAGAGGTCTCCAGTTGTCAGGGAGAGGTAGAAGGAGCAGGGAGGGAAGCTGTCATTTCCAGTGGGTCCAGCTCGTTGTGGAGGTTGCACTCGATGGTGCTGAGAGCAATGCAAAAGGCCGTCCATTTGCCCTAACACGCCCTGCAAGATTGATTTTGGAGGCCTGGCAGACACCTTACTTTACACAAGAAGCTGATGCTTAATTCGGAAAGCAAGAGTCTGGGGGAGAAGTGGAAGCACCGCTAGGTCTTCAATCCCACGTCTGTCTGCTCAAGGCTTTTCTTTCATGCAGAGGGCTTTGCTAGGTCTGCTCTGACAGTACCACTAGAGCCAATCCAACTGGGCATTTACAAGCACATGCTTCACATTCAAGCACGAGTCGAGGTACTTTGCTCAACTGAGGTCACTGGTTTGTTTGGTGTTTATGACAATTCGAGGCAATGGGAAGTGGTGCAGCAACACGCTGGAGTCCCGGGTCTCGGGAAGCACCTGCCGTGCCGGCCTGCAGAGGAAACCTGGCCTTGCTAGAAAGGGGTCTGTTGGATTAACACGCTTCCCAGGGACCCTGCTGATTGTGCAGATGCACAGCGTGGCAGCGAGAGCTATGTGCAGCGCTGGCATGCCTGGTCCACAACTTGATTGCTGACCTCTTGGGTCCCAGGCTTTATCCGGATCGCTCCCAGAGAAGGCTGCTCAGTCATTAGGCATTTAAAGACAAACTTCTCTGAAGGAGTTTCATTGAGGCAGGAGTCACAGACAGGGTCAGCTGTAGCCATGCTGGCTTTGGCCACACCACATTGGGAGCTCTTCCTTCCAGCTTACGGCACACTAAAGCCACACGTGGTTTTTCTGACTGCAAAATTTTCACCCTGTGTCAAGTCAAACCTAGAAAGTGGCTGCCCCGCTTGAATGTGGGGCCGACTGCAGTGCTGCACATGTAGTCTGGAGGTGCCATCCCATCTCTGTGCACGCAGCAAGCAAGCGTCCCCTTTTTGTCCAGTCCCAGGCTTGTGGGGGCTGGCAAAGACCGTGCTAAAAGGTGCCTTTTTGCTGCTCCACGCATGCACAGAGATGGCCAGCAAGCCAGTCAAGAACAGTGTCTGAACACAGTACAACAGACTCACCCAGGGAGCCTGAGCATTTACTCTCTGGCACATGGAAAGGTGAGGGAGAGGAGGAGGATTTCCCCTTTACATGGGTCTACTCCTACCATACAGCAAAGACCCCACTGCTGACAGTGGCAGAAGAACAGGCCGTATTCGAAGAGTGAAATCTTAGCCCAGGTGAAGGCAAGAGGAGCTGCGTCACGGATCTCAGCAGGGCCACGGTTTCACCTGAGGGATTTCAGTGTCGGGTGAAGTCAGTGCGATTTTCGCTCCTCGTATTTCTGATGGAACAAAGGCTCGCTGCACCTCTCTGGATGCTGCGATGGTTTCTCTGCAAACGGGCTGCCATCCAACGCCGCTCACATTAGCAACACGGGTCCCATTCACGAAACCGTACAGAAAGTTGTGGGGGAAGAGAAGGTGGGGCTGTGGTTTGCAAGACACAGACGTACATCACTGAATATCAGCACTGCCCTCCCTGGTGTCGGCACGTCCCTTTGGGAAGCGCGTGTTAAGAGAACACCAGAGCCCAAATCCTCACGTGTGATGTTTGACCTCTTGAGCCTCTCTGCTGGATTCTGAATTGGAAAGTTAAAAGCTGGTTTTAAAAGAAAGTAGTGAGTCCTGGTAAACTACTGCCTGACGCACAAAAACAGCATTTCTTTAGCTCTAGCTAGAAAAGTAATTCTACCACCTCACAGTTCAGTTTTAGCTACATTCAGGTCTAGGAGTCTCCACATTCTCATGTAATGCCTTAAAGCAGCAACAAAAGTATAAAAACCATTAAAATTTAACCACGAAAAAAAAAACAACCTGTAAAAAAATATAGGATTTGGTCCTTGTATCCTGCTTGTTCGTTCAGCGTATGTAACCTGGCAGGGTTCTTTACATCAGATGCTACGGTTTTGGTTTCTTAGCCATCGTTTTCGGAGAGGTTGAGTTTAAAAAAAAAAAAAAAAAGCATTGTGCTTCTACCTATTTCAAGTTTTCCTGCAGCACCTCAGACAGCTGCTTCACACTCAGCACCTGAGTCGCTGCTTTCCAGCCGGACGTGACATTGGTATGTTTAATGCTCTTGGATGAGATGTCTCAGGCTCAGTCGTATGTACAGTCTCCTGCACGGGGTCCTTTGAGCTCTGCTTTCTCTATGCTCTAAATACCACTTTCTTCTGTCCCTGAAAATAAAAAAAAAAAAAATGTTTTTTAAAGTTACCCTGCCAGGTTCGTTGGTTGAGGAAAGTTCCCCCGAGCTCTCCCTACAGCCCCGCTTCCTTCCCGGCACGGCCTGGGGGGTCATTTTCTAGGAGGTCATGGAGCTGATGGGAAATGCTGCCCGGTCTCATCCTTCCCTCTCCCGCAGAGGCAGTGGAGCTAGCGCACCCTTACCGGAAGAGAGACGAGGAGATCCCTGCTTGCTATTCACAGGCAAAATAATCCTTGAGCGGGGCGAACAGGTGCCGAATGACCGGGACGCTCCACGACCTGCCAAGCAGCTTCTGGCGAGCTCCGCGCCCCATGTTGGACACGTCCGTGTAGTGGAGGGGGAAGCCAAAAATCCTGCAGGGGCGGGAGAAAAGCAGAGTCTTCATTCAGGAGGGAACCCGCACGTCGGTGCATGCATAAGTCTACCCTATAATCACTGGGTTACATCCCAAGGGCCAACACCCTGGCCCCACGCATCGCTGCCGATGCTTCTTGGGGCTGTCCTTGTTTGGTCTCACAAGGGGCACCTCGTCCCACACTGAGGCCCAGATCCTTGCTCCCTTATCTGGACCTCTGCTGCAGGCATGCACATGTGCAAGCATCTCTGCACACTTCCTTTGCAGGTGCAAGCCATTCTCATTCAAAGAAACCCCCACCCTTTAAAAACCTGCCCCCAAGCCACAGCCCTGCTCCCTATGAAGTTAGTGGGAGAGTCTGGGTATTTCTGTCACGTTTCCAAGAGCCAGCGCTCCACATGGACACTGAGATCCCTCCCCGCTTCCCGTAGTCACAAACAGGGCTTTTCGACTGCAGATCTCCACGCATTTCAGCAGCTAGGGAAACTGAGGCACCAAGAAGGACACAACATGCCCAAGATCATCCAGCTGGCCAGCAGAAGAGCCAGGAATACAATTCGGTCTTTACAAGGATAAACCTCCTGAAAAAATATCATGCCTACAAAACCGTAGCCAGTCGCATATCATGGTCGTGCTACGGCAAATAGGACAGATAGCAGCCTCTGCTTGAGAGGGGCCACGGGCTGGACAAGCAGGAGACGTGCGGCTCAAGACGGGATCTGCACTAGGAGAAGTGACTAAATTGTGCCCGAAAGCTTGCAAAGAACAATTTTTCCAACTATTTAGTTGGTCTAAGAAAAGAGATCACATCTACCCAAAGAACTTTGCCTACAGGCATTTTCTACGTGTCAGCAGCAACGCAGGGCCCGAAGGTGAGCACAGCTCAGCTTCTGCAGGAAAAGAAGGCTTTCAACTCCCCTAAAAACTGGAGAACGACCCCATCCTACCACGCACACGGCTTAGTCCTGCCACCAGCACCTCCGAAACACAGCCCAGCTTTCCTGGGCACTCTAATTAACAACCTGAGCCATCGCCTGGGTGCGGCCTTTAATAAAAGAAAATAAAAAGCTAACAAAAAAATCCAGAAAATGAAATAGAAATCAGCCCCCAAAGCACTGCTCTTTGCCCAGGTCAGCACCAGCGACCGTCCCGGTCATCAAACTGCAGCAAATAGAAACCAAGGTGGGAACAAGAAGCCTCCAAACCCCGGAGAAACCCCCTTCCCGGCACGCCGGCTCGTCCCTGTGACCTCCCAGACACCCAAGCAGGGTCATCGGGTTATTCTGGCGAAGACCAGGTTACGGAGCACGCCTTGTGGTCCCTTCCCCGCTACACACGGCATATGCTAGAGCAGCACAACTCCTTTCCATGGACCAGATGAAAATGGAAGGCTTTTGTCCCAGGCCCTTGGTTTTTCGGGGGCCCCGCCACGACGGACAGCAGATGCGGTCACAGACCCCCAAGGAACAAGCCCGCGGGTCCGTGCTGCTCCTCGCACCGCCTTTGGAGGCCCTGGCCCAAGCTCCCCGGCTGCAGCGCCCACCCTCCCTAGCAGGGCTCACCTTTCTAACTCAGAGCACCACAACATGTCTTCCTTCCCGTTCATGAGAACAGGGAGCTTCATGGCTTTCCCCTGCTTGAGCGAGTTGGTTTTAGTCGTTATGGTTTGCACCTTCTTCAACTGAGGAACAAAACAACAAGCGTGACGTGAACCTCCGAGCCCGCGCATCAAGCAAACGCCTTGCAGGCTCTACCGAGGACGGGGCTGATCCGGCCGCGGGGATGAGGCTGGGCAGAGGAAGGGCATGCCGGTGCTTCCAGCATTTCCAGTAGCACAGCGTCTGCCCCTACGAAGCACTTGCACGAGAGGGCGTTTTCTTACAGCAATGGCTGGGGGCACAGCCACATCCTCTGCCCACTTTGGCATCTGCTGCCAAGGAAGAAAGATCCCGATTCATGGATATCGAGGGCCAGCCAAGCTGTGGTTTGCCCACCTTAGCAAGGGCTGCACTGCAGGCTCACAAGCCCCCCGAAAGACTGCCAGATGCTGGGCTTGGGGCCCCAACGTGGAGGACTTCTCCGACGGGCACCACAATCCAGAGACAGAAGCAAATCCACCACCTCACCAGACCCACCAAGAGCAGAAGGGGAAGAGAGAGCTGGGATCCAGAAAGACGGGTCTTAAGGGAGACAGCAAGAAAGAGAGATGCAAGCACTCTCGGGCCCAGAGAAGGCAAAGAGTCGGAGAGGGGGTCCCCAGAGAGCGCCCCGCTCCGAGGACATCCCCTGCGACGGGTGCAGCCAGGTGGAGCCCAAAGACCTCACGTCGTAGGAAGGTGAGAAACACCCCAGAGGGGGAAAAGGGGAAAGGGGAAAAGGTTGAACAGTGGCTCTTACCGTCGCTATCCTACTGTATTCCAGGCAGTCCTGAAGCTCAACTTTATCAGTCCTTGAAGCTACCACAGGCCTGAGAACAGGCAAAGCTCGTTACAGTCTAACATCCACAGAGACCTGCACGCTCTAGCGCTCCGGCATGGGCACACTCGCGTCCTCTGCAGCAGCAGAGAACACGGCAGCATTTACAAGAGCACGGCAGCAAACGTAACCCCCGCCTGAAGGTCGGGTGCAGGAAAATAAGGCCTCACAGTTAATCTCATGCAGAGGTAAACAGCCTTTCAGGAGAGCCACAGGGTTTGCCCAGCAGAAAACAGAGAAGCATCAAAATCTGGTCCTCTCCCTTGGGAGGTTTCTGATCAGGGAAAGAAACCTGCTGGTGATGCGACTTCTGGCCCTTTCCCACCCCCTTTCTTCTAATTCACAAGGCAAAGGACAAGGAGAGAGGGCGGCCAGAGATGCTCCTGAGCCGATTCTTTTAAATCGGACAGCGCGACCGCGAGCGAGACGCAGCGGTGAATGCGAACACCCTGCACAACAGCAACCACATCTGGCACCGGGGTCCTAGGGCTCCTCTCGACAATGCAAACAGGCTGAACGCTGCACATGAGGAAGGGTGGTCAGCGCGGAGGTCGGGTGATGGGGAAGTGCAGATTGCTTCTCAATGACACTGCTTTAGTGAACGGGCTCTTTCACCAGGACCCTCCAGGTGAGGCAAGAGCGCCCTGGAAGCAACAAGCATCGCCGCCCGCCAGTGAGCAACGACCCCGGATCTGCCCGAAGCATCAAAATCCCAGCTTCTTCTGAAAGGACAGCGCGGCTGCTGCCTTCAGCCAGCCGGGAACCCCAGCCCAAGGGCTGCTTCCGCTGCCACCGCCAACACTGCTCCGTACACCATGCATCCCTTTGCATTTTCCATCCTCCCTCGACACTGTCCTGTGCAACCCTGTTCCCAGGTGCAAATGTCTGCTCCAGAAAGCAGACCGCAACCGCGGCCTGCAGCACTGATCTGCTCCCTCCTCCCTTCCTGCGAGGCTGTGTCCTGTGGCCGACTACCCAGCAGCACTGAGGTCCCTGGGCAATCTCGCACCCAGCTCTCAAAGAAGACAAGGTCCGATCTCTCTCTGCCCCCAGCTCCCGCTGCAAACACATGGTCGTGACACTGGCTGCCCTTGTTCAGTCTCACTGGGTAGGGTCAGCCCTTTTACAGAACCGACCCACACCCCCTTGACACGCCGCTTCGACTCCACCTGTTCCACCAGCACACGGTGGTTATACAGTTTACAGTAGGTGAACTGTAAACTCACCGTCATCAGGATGCAATTAGACCATGACACGGTTTACAGCATGCTCCACTACAGTAAAACAGTATGAATCATTTACAGGAAAGTCATTCGCTGCCGCTCTGAGAGCTCCGTCCTTCTTCACAGCTGTCCTAGATCCCAACAACTTTGTATTAATAGCAGCATGTGAAGTGCAGGAAGCGCTGGTACGGTTTAACCTCATTTGACTTGTCGCTTGCTCAACAGAACTTGTTCTAAATCGGGACGCGAGGTCGACGACCCACTGTCTGTGGTGCCCTGGATAGAGACTTCGGCAGGTGACATTGTCAAAAGCGCCCAAGTTCGTTGTCAAAAGCTTTTACTTCCTTTTACTTTTGAAAACGTCAGCCTGAGTCCACCCTCCAGGGGCATCCCCAGGGACCTCCGCTTTGGAGTCTGCACATAGGTACCGACAGAAATGCAACCACAAGCTTCCAAATGCAAAAGGTGATGGAGGCTACGCTCCTGGTCCTGGACGCCTGTCCCCCACGGACCTACACCCATCAGGGTCAGCGCTAATTGCTTTAACTCCCACAAATGCCTGCGCCTAAAGCGTAGACAGCAAAGCTCTAGAAATCAGCATGCGATCCCATTGATTTCTTTCCATCTGCATTGACCTACCCAGGGCTTTTGCGAGATGGAAAATTCCATCTTCTGCAGCTCGAAAGGTTAGGTTAATAGGGTCACTATTGGCCTGATTTTAAAGCATCTCTTTAATCTAGGTTTTCCTGTGAATTTTGACCTAGCAAAGTGTGCTGCACAGAAATCTCTGGACACTTCTGCTTATGCACGGCACCCGCAGTCCTTTCAGAAAGCCAAGTGTGCACAGCGGGGTCCACGCAGCACCGAGCTGATGGGACAACAACTAATGGGAACTGCGGCTTGTTCTGCGCTGCTCAGATCCACACCTCCAGTCCCACGGCACTCGGTGCAAGAGACACCGAGGCAACCAATCCCATGCTATAAGCAAGCCCCAGTTACTCATCCTCAAAAAAGATGCACACATCCTAAAGACAACCCGATGTAGTGCCCACGCTGAAGTCAAGGGAAAGGTCCCCACGGATTCAGTCCCTCACTCTAAATACGTCTAGAGCCCTGTAACTCCTAGCAGCGAGGAGCGAGCGCACCGCTCCTTGGAGACCTGAGCCCAACGGGCTGAAGCACTGCAGGCTAATAAGTCTCCCTGGCTCTCCAGAGCTGCACCTGGGGCCAGGAAGGATGAAACGGGAGAGGCTCGCAAGTGAAAACCAGTTACCTGTTCATCCCTGGCAGATTGCCCCAGAAATAGCGCGCTCGGTGTGCCGCCGACACCTTGACAGCATCGATCATCACCGGGTTACACTGCGGGCCAGCAGAGAGAAGAGGAAAATGTCAGAAAGAGGGACCAGGGCGAAGCACCTGTGGCCACCCCAGGTAGGGCCCTGCTTCTAGGGTAACCAGTGCATGTGGCATGAAGATGGAAAGGCCGTTTCTCTAAGAGCCCACCGTCGCCAGTACTACTGCTGCATTCGGGTGCACCGGGGAGCTCTAGCAACGCAGGCATGAGCCCGGACCCACCCACCACATGCCCCAGCCCATCTCAGTAGCGTCTTCTTATCGCTCCTGCAGGCTCAAGGACAGAAGTGCTGCTTAGGTGACGACTCTGGCAATAGGCAACAGGCAGCAAATGGTATCACGGACTAACCCCCCAAAGTTGACAAACAGACTCCCCACAGCGAAGCGGAGAATCATTAAACCCATTTTATGACGGGGAAGCTGAGGCACAGAGGGCGCTGGCCAAGGCTGATGGGGAAGCCTGCAGCACAGCCAGCGCAAGACATCCAGCCTCGAGAGCATCCCTCCTCCTCCCACTAGTCCTGCTTGGGGTTTTCACGGCCCGGCTTTGTCTTGGCTTTCCGTGAGAAGCCACCTCGGGATGCCACCCACTTCCAGGCCCCCGCGCAGAGGCAAGCGGCCCACGGCAAGCCTTACCTCCAAAAACCGGGAGATGTCCCTCTTGTCATTGACCCTCATGGCAACGACGTTCTCGAACATCCAGAAGAAGGGGCGTTCCTCGCCCATCTTCGGGCGCGCGTAATTGAGGAGGTGGTAAAACTCGAAGAACAGCCGCCCGGTTCCTTCTGCAACGGGGCAAGCCGAGACGGTCAGGGAGGTCCGCGCCCCCAGGAGCAGACAGCACCGACGATGCCCGGTGCTCATGGAGGTGGCCTGGCTTAGCCATCCTGTGTCCCACCAGATCTAAGGCACTAGTGGGACCACATCAAGGTAGGGCAGGGGGGAGGAGTTCGGTCTTCCAGGCCCATCCCATCGCGGGAACCCACTAACCCCATGCGGCAGGAGTTTGGGACTCGCACCCCTCAGGAAACGGAGCGAAACACCGACTCGTTTTCCAGTGGCCAAACAGCCCCAGGTGAGACAGCAGGCTCCTTTTTGGCCCCTGCGCCCCATCCCAAGCACGGCTCACAACTGCAGAACCGGGAGCTGAAGGGCTCCACATCCAAGAGCCACAAGCCCCTCCAGAAACCAAGCCGCCTTACCATACAGCCCCTTCCTGGCAGGATTCACGATGGACAGGTCGTTGCAGGGGCTGCCACCGATCACCAAGTCGAAAGGCCCCCACTCATCGATCTGGAAAAGACAGAGAGAGGGACTCAGCCCAAGCGAAGTCCCAAAATGGCACGTGGTACAAAGGGGCAGGACAGCGGGCAGCTGGCATGCTCTTCCATGCCAGGAGCCAAGGAGGACGGGACGCGGCGCAGGAAGTCGCGTGCTCACGTTTCTCTTGGTTATGTTCCGGACGTCGTGCACGTAGGTGATGTTCCCCTCGTGCCGGACGGTGCCCACAGCAATGGACTCCTCGCATATCTCCGAAGCGATGTATTTCTCCACTTTAATGCCCAGGTCCTTCAGAACCAGGTAACCTGCCCGGGGGAGGAGAGCCAGGGTGAGTGCTGGCTGCAGGGACCCTTCCAGGCTCTTAGCTTCCTCCACCAGCCCGCGACACACCCGGTCTGGGCGCGACGCAGAGGGGGACATCTGTGCGGCTCTGGGCCTTCAAGAGCCCAACCCACCCACACAGGCACATCTGCTTGCCTGAAGCTCACTCCTACAAGGGGGCTCCACAAAGCTGTTGCCTCTCCCCACGGTCAGCCGACGGGGAAGTGCTCTGCTGAGGAAGCAGCAGGTCCCTGCACATGGTCCTGCAAATGTGTCCCCACCCCGCGCCGCCAGCGGGGACCTGCGTGCAGAGGGACGCTGAGAATGGGACCTTGACAGGCCTGGGACTCTTCCTCCAGCTCATCCTCCATACTTAATAATAAAGGGCCAGTGGTATAGCTGCAGCACACCAGAAATGCTGGTTGTGCCATGGACTCGCTGCATGACCTTGGCCAAGTCACTTCATCCCTCCCTGCCTCAGTTTTCTCAGCTATGACAGGTCTGCTGGCGCTGACTGGCTGCACCAGCACACATCACGTTCGTTCAAGGCTTTGCTAAGGGTTTAGCAGCTCCTAGGAGAGCGATCACAGCTATTGAATCCTGCAACTCTTTCCTACACACCCCCTCCTGGCTCCTCACCTGTCGCTATGCCGTCAAATAAGGACAGCACTCGGATGGGCTTCCGCTTCGCCGCGGGGATGGCTGGGTAGATTTTAGGGGCTTCCTGCGAAGAAAGAGGGGGAAGATGAAAGCTTAGCTCATAGTCCCGCTGCTCCACGAGGCTGCTGGAAAGGCCCAGGCCCTATCGCTGCCAGCTGAGAATCGGCCCCACGCCCCGCACGGCCACGTGTCAGCAGCACAGAGGAAGTGCTGGATGCCTTCCCACTCCACAAGCCCAGGTTGCCCCGTTCCCAGCGTCGTCTGCAGCGCTGCATCCTTCCCCGTCCCTCACAACCTTCCTGAGCTCACCGCACGCCGGACCCTCGCGCCCGTTTCCTTACGTATTCCTGCCCCTTGTCGCTGGTGAAGAAGTCCTGCAGCCGGACGTTCCAGTCCTGGCGGCGCTGCAGGACCCCGTAGCACTTCTGAGGCTGGCACATGTAGCAGCTCCACGGTTCCTGCTCCTTGGCCTTCTCCGAGCTCCCTCGCCCTACCAGGACCTCCAAGCACTCCACGCAGAAGCACCTGGGGAAGCCCGGGGCACGCGGTGATTCTCACTGCCGGGGCCCCCGCTGCCTGCCCCCACGCTACATGACAAGCTTCCCAGGTCAGGCAGCCGTGCCCCCAAGCACGGGGCTCTGCACGAGCAAGTCCAAACACAGCTTTGGCAGTCCTGTGGTGCTGCTGGGAGGCTAATTAGCGCAGTCGCCCAGCAGTGGTAATTAGCCAGCCCATAGCATCAAACAAGCATCAAATGCTTCCCATTTAAGAAGTGGCCCATATCTGAGGGCACTGCTTCCAAGCCCAGCAAGCTGACCCTGTAGACAGCCTCGGTCACCCTCCGTGCAAATCCCCCACGGGCAGTACACATTGCCTCGGGGTCCAGCTCCAGGCCTTTCCCATCTTGCAAGAGGAGAGCAGGTTTCTGCGTCTCCTCCGGGACCCCGGGAATGCAGGGAGCGAGAACGATGAGCGCTAGCTGCGTATTTGCAGGGGACTCTTGCCGATATCCCACACAGGGCTAGAGGCGGGGATCTACCCAGGCCTGCGGCTGGTGGATCACAGCGCGCTGCAGACATGCACCGCAAGCAGAGAACGGGGTATCCCACTGGGAAACCCTGTCCCCAAGCTTCACCTAATCCCAGGACTGGAGATGCCTTCTCTGCAGAGAGGCACAGACACAGTCCGGGGAAGGGGAAACAGGAGCAGCCAGGGAAGCCAGAGCCTTAAAGCAGATCCCTCTAAATGAGGATGAAGTAGTAACTTCCCTTCTCAGGCTGGGGTGTTCGAAGGAGCTCGAAGGAGCCGGGCACCCAGTAGTCAGTCCAGTCCTTCGGTTTCCTTCCAAAATCTCAACCCCACTAGTGCTCCAAGTTCTCATCTGCACTCAGCAGCCTGTCCTTGCATGGTCCTACAGGATGCATTATGGCCAGAGCTCTCTCATCCGGGTGCTTATCCCTCCGCTCCCAAAGCTGCCTTGAGGCCCCAGGGTGCAAGGGCCCAGGTCCTACAGCAGCACGGAGCCTCCACAGCTCACCCCATCTCCCAGGCCCCTGCACCCAGGGTCGCCTGCAAGGGGAGGGACGGCGAGGGAGAGGGAGAAGGGGAGCGGGCAGGGGCAGGGCTGCCCACCTGTAGCAGCTGGCGTTACTGCACAGCAGCAGCTCCTTGCCCTTGCAGCAGACGGTGCAGTAGGACTGGTAGCCGTCGTCGTCGTACATGTAGAAGAGCTCCAGGAATCTTTCCTAGCAGCAAAACAGGCCCCCAAAAGAGAGCGAGTCAGGCCCCCGGAGCCAGCTGCCATGCCCCACACATCTCCAGCTCCAGCCCACCTCCTTTCCCCTGCCCAGCCCCCTTCCCGCAGCCGGCAGGTAACCCCTCCATAGGAACTCCTTGCAGAAAAAGGCTAGCAATGCTCCCCCAGCCCCAGGCTCTCACGTGCTCTGCCAGCGGCCTCTCCGATCCCAGCCCAGCTAGCTGCTGCTTTCGAGACCCAGCAAGCTGCAGCAGCCAGCTTAACATTAGGTTAGCATGGGCGCATCCCCCGACATGCACCAGGCAGGGATCACCGCCCTCAGAAACTTACCCTGCAAGTCTGGCAAAGGCCCCCCTCAAACAGCGGGTGGAACGTGACCGGGTTTTTCCTTCCACATGACAAGCAGTTGTCTGTGAATGAATACAATGCACCCCCTTGAAGGGTTATCGGTGATTTTATCACGGGAACGCCTGAAGGCCTGACACTAGTCTAGGGGGCAACACAGGGGTGCACTTCACCCTGAGCAAACACTGCCCAGGCAGCACCGGGGCAGCTTCCACTAATCCCACGCGGTGCAATTAAGCAGGAGACACCAATTATCTCAGTCTTGGTGCCGTATCCAAGCACCCAACTTAGCCACAGACTTTTTAATCAAGGGAAAAAGGAACTAATTACCTTCGAGGCTCCAGTTGTTGTTTGTGACTTTGGAAACCATTTGCTCTTTAAAAGGAAAAGAAAAAAAAAAACACGTGAAGGGAAAAATACTCCAGGATTCTGCACGGCAAACTGCACGCGGAGGCAGCCGCAGCAGGGCCGAGCAGTCACGTGGTGGAGGGAAACACTGGTGTGTGCAATTACATAGAAAGCACACGTATGTATGGACCTAAGTGGGGATGAGTGTGGGCAGAGGTTAAAGCTGCCTCCAGGTAAGGGTGCGTGTTGCCAGGCAGGATTAGGATACACGCAGGTTTTGGAGGAGACGGGGTGCACGCGCACGTGTACATGCCTAGGCCATGAATAAACATGCAAGAGGTACAGGAAGAAACAAAGCAGGAACTGCCCTAGCATTGCTACCAGGGCTCGTCGCACTCATTTATGGAAAACACCATTCTTCCTCCAGCTGCAAGCAGGGTCAAAGCGAGCTCGTATCAGCCTCCCCGAGCGGTTTCTCTCCAGGGCGAGGGGCACGTGAGCCGTCTCCCCCTTGGGAGACACCCTGCCCGCTCCTGCTCACCTCGTGTCTGGTCCTTGTCCGCGTGCGCCTCCTTGCCGTTGCTGCAGACGTTGGTTTTCAGGCGCTTGGCCGGGGGGCAGTGCTCCGGGGTGGAGACCTCTTCTGCGCTGTTGCGACGGGTGCCGCTCTCTGGGGAAGGAGGCGAGGCAGGTCTTCCCAGTCAAGCCAGGCATTTTTGGGGGCACCTCCCAGTGAAAGCTAAAGGGACCTAACTGGGGGGCAAGCCCCCTCCTCGCCCCCGAGCTGAATGGGAGCTCAGCCCGTGCGGGCACCATTCAATTAGGGCTGATTTGCACCCTGCTCCATGCCCAGGGCAGGAGGCTTTTGCATGTGCCAACCCCTCACGCTAGCCCGTACCCAGGGGAGAAATGCACCCCAGTGTCCGGCCACCCGCGGTTCTTTACCACTTTGAGAGGAAGAAGGGGGTAGAATCGCTCGGTCTCTTCTGCTCCCCAAGCACACGTGCGCTCGCAGCCCCAGCTGCAACAGTCCTGTGATGCACAGACCAAGGCCAAACCACTGGAGTCAGACCCACTGGACATCCCTCCTGCTCGCGTGCACCCAGCCGCTCTGTACCCGAACGTGGCACCCGGGCCCGGTCCTCCCAGCTCGGCTGCAGAGACGGGCAATGCCGGCCCTGGGGGAGGCCTGGGCAGGAGAGGGTGGGCGATTTCTGTGCATCTGGGCAGCTCGCTCCCCTCTTCCTGAAGCCAAATGCCCCCGGGAACCGGGACCCCGAGAGGGACATCTCAAGGGCAAGGCTCATTTTCTTTTTTGCTGTAAAGCACAAGCAAAATCTTTGCCTATGGGGAAGCCCACGGAGGGCCGGGTCCTTGCCTGCCCCGTGGCACTTGGACACAGCCCAGGAATAGGGGCTGCAGGTGATATCTGATTTCCCGGAGCAAGATTTGGAGGGTCCCTAGCAGGTGCTCTGCTGCTGCTAGCCGGTTACACTCCCAGCTCGTCTCCAGCCGAGGCCAAGCCCTTCCTGTGCAAGTCCACCACCCCGGGGCTGGCTCTGACCTGCTACGCAACAGCCAGTCTGAGCAGGAGGTTATTGAGGAGGGGGACTGTGCACTGGCCGGTGCAAATACCCCAGTGCAGGCAACCCTCCCACCCAGTGCCAGCATCCCAAAAGCATCACACCTGGAGTGCTGGGTGGTTTCAGTCCCTTCCAGCCCATGGGCTTGAAGCCACTGAGCGCCCACTCAATCATGGGCTTCAGCTTCTCCTCCAGGGATTCCTTAGCCGTGCCAGGGAAGGTCTTTCCCGCCCGGCCCTTGGCAACCTGCCGGAGAGAGGGAAGACATTACTGCATTAGATACGGCGCCCCGGGAAGCCGTCGCTGCAGGGGATCCTGCAATTCCTGTCTGGATGCAGCCTCCCCCACCTGGACATGTGCACACTGGGCTCATTCATACCAGCGCCTGCAGCAACAGCTGTGCCCGGGGAGGGGAGACCCGCAGCCTCCCCCCTCCACTCCCCAGGCGGCACGGCCACGAATTCCAGCAACGGGCGCGCCAGCCCTGCAGCACACGGCACCGTTCCCCTCCCACGCACGCCTGCAAGCCCCAGACCAGCTGGGAGCAGGTCGAATCAGCCCCCACTCATGGGCATAATCCTGCCCTGTGCCGTGCACGGAAGGCCATGATGCTCTACTTGGCCTGTGGATGCACAGCCCCGAGGAGGGGGGCCTGCTGTGCGTGTACTCGCTCCACAAGACCCAGCACAGAACCTGCCGCCCATCAATCATCGGCCGGGAACAACTGGTCCTTGCGGCGCACGTCCCACACTGCCCCGGGGCTGCGGGGGCAGAGGGCACCTGACCAAGAACCGTACCCCGACCCCTGCAATTTTGGTGCCAGCCTCTCCATCCCCCCAGGGGCAGGAGAACACGGCATGGCTTGTGCTTTGCAATGGTGCCAGCAGACGGGGGTGGCTTTCCAGAAGGACAACCATGAGTCACAACAGCTGGTGCTTTGGCCTGATGCAGGCTTCACCCCAGGCTCTCGAAGCACTTTGCAGGTCGTGAGTGAAAACCCGTGACTGTGAAGCAGGGAACACTTGCTGCCCCCTTTTCCGGCGGGACAGATCAGATCAGAGCCCTGAGAAACGCGAGGTCTGCCCCCACCTCCCCTTCAAACCCAGCCAGCAACTCTGCAACCCAGCGCGGCTCTGCTCCCATTACCTCCAGAGCATGGTATATGGCGCGTCGGTAGGAGACCAGCTTATTGAAGGTGGAGGAGTTGAAATGCTGCTGGAAAGCTATCAGCCGCACCAGCTTGTCTGCCGAAACCTGGAGGGAAGGCAACAACTGCTCAGCAACGGATAGCCAGAGGAAGCGGAGACCTCGGGCCCGCGCTTCACTCCGTCCCTCAGGACCTCGCAGGAGGTCACAAACCCCCCAACATTCAGCAGCACCCCCACAAACACCAGCTGCCCGGGTGTCCCCTAAAAAGGGAGAAAAGCCCAAGTCACCCGCCCGAGGCTTCGCAGTGAGCGGAGGGCGAGAGCGAAGGAGAAAGCAGGTGTCCTGGCTCCGAACCCCCTCTCGTGTCTGGGGTCGTTAGGCCCGTGCGGTGTTACCCGCATGCACGGAGGCTGCTTTAACACCCAGATGCAGAGCGCCCAGCTTCTCCTGGAGCGTTTGGGTACTCGGCTCACTCATCCCCCTGGGGAAAGCTCCTCTCAGACGCAGCCTCTAGCTCTCCATGACCTGGCCCATCACGCTGTGCCCCTGGGCTGGGGATGTGCCGCCCTCCAGGGACCCCCCACCTTCAGCGGACGGGAGCAGAGCTGCTGGCGGGCTCCGAGAGGGAGAGTCCCTGGGAGGGGCAGAGGGCAAAGAGCAAACGAGGGCGCCTGGCGAGTCCAAGGTGGAGGTGAGGACCCACCGGCCTGCACAGGCGTCTCCCCGTCTTCTGCAGGTGCATCCTCTGCACCTGCAGCAAAGCCATTTCCCAGGCGGGTGACAGTTGGTGCAACCCCCCAGCTCCTTCTGCAGGGGTCCTGGGCAAAGCCTGCACCACTGCCTTTCCCAGGTGCCCCAAAATCCAGCTCTTCCTTTCCCACAGTCATTTCAGGGCTGCACTTACAGACCCCCCCCCAGTGCCTCTGGCAGCAGGGCACACGCCTCCCCTGATTGCTGTCACGGGAAGCCAAACCCCGCCGGGAAATCAGGCAGGGGAAAGGTTGGCTCCAGACAACGGGACTCCTATGCCCTCTGCTGGCCACCTGGCACCTGTCCGCAGCCCTGCAGCAGGAGCCGGCCCAAAGGTGCCCAGGGTTGCAGACATCCAGCCAGCCAAGGTCCGGGCTCCCAGCACCTCAGGCATGGGGCTTTCGGCCTCTTGAGGTCTGCAACCTCCCCGCAAGCGACTCAGGATGGGCAGCGGCTGCAGTAGGAGCTGAGCTACGCTCAGGATCTGCAGCATCCCACCCCGGTGCACTTTGCCCGCCCGCCTGTTTCCATGCAGCTGGAGGGACCCTCGGCCTGGTCTCTCTGCCAGGCTGTGCAGAACGGCCCCTGCCAGCCGCCCCGTGCTGCGGGACTCACCTCGGAGAACTTCCCGTCCCCGAACCACTGCACCCAGCGCATGCCGGAGATGGCTTGGCGCTTGGATGTGACCCGGTAGGAGACGACGAGGGCAGGCCACCAGGAGAAGCCTTTGATTTTCCCCCACACGAGCTCCCCGATTCCGAAGTCCTTCCCATCCTGCAAGTAGACGGGGACAGTGTCAGTCCGCTGGCAAACGCCAGCCACCCTGCGTGCATGGGCCCTGGGGAAAGCCAGCAAGAGCCCACCGGCGCATGCATACCCTTCACCGGAGAAAAGCAGCTCTGCAGAACTAGGACCTAGGGATGAGCATCAGCA